TCAGCTGGGCGGGGGGGGGGGGAGGGGAGGAGGGATGAGTGCGAGACACTCGCCGCTGGTCCCGCACTCCCATTAGACAGTGGCATTGCACTGCCTGGACATAAACGCACGGTAGCAGGAGAAGCCAAGTGCTCCCTGAAAGCTTTGGCAGTGCGCGATGACGAAGCGAGCTTTTGTTTTCAGTGCGCAATATGCCAGCGCGTTTACAAGCCAGGCATGGATTTCATGATGCAAAAGCACTGTGCTTCTCGCATCGCCAAAAGTTTTCGGCCCGCCTACTTCTCACTGGTGCTCGCGTAACTACAAGGGGCTTTACTTAAGACTTTAAGCCTTCCATTTCGGCCGCCTGATAAGCGAAGGTCACAAGTTGGGAATTCAGACACCACACCCAATGGAATGGAGCTCAGCTCGCTGGTTTCCACCCACCCCCTCCCCACCTCCACCCCACCCCCTCCGACCACGTGCCTCCCCCTCCCCCGTATCTCCTGCACCATTATGTGGCGAGGCACCACAGCGGCGCCGCCGGCGACAACAGCCGGTGCGGTGTCGCCCCGCGCTCCGGCCCACCAGTCACGCCCGCCCCCTCGCCACGCCCCCCCCCCCCTCCCCCTCCGCCCGCTCGACGACACCGACAGCGCCGCCGGCGGCTGGCGCCGACGCGCCCTCCGCGCCCGGCGCGCTGTCGTGGGCACCCCGGCTGGGAAGCCGGCAGCCCAGATCGGCCGCAGCTCGTCGCGACGCTCTGTCGTAACGCGGCCGGCGAACGGCTTGCCGACTCGCGGGTTCGACGGCGGCAGGCGGCGGTAGGTGCCGTAACGCGAGAGTAACGCCCGAGCGGTGTCGGGCTCTCAGCGACGTGGGGGGGGGGGGGGGGTTGCGGTGCTTCGTGGGATTGACTTTCTTCTCGTCACACTGGGCTTCATGCGCTCAAGGTGTGATGTTAAAGCTCATTCCAAGCTGAGATTGTGAGTGGCATTGCGCATAGTGTGCTCCATAATCTCGCCGACAAATATTCCAGTTGTATCGCTCCGTGTTGTTGACACATACACCCAGTCCTCTCATCTTTCACGGATCCTCGCCCTCAAAGCCGCACTAATCGTTCTCAAGGAGAGTAATGGCATTCAAGGAGAAGACAGTTGCATCAGGAATAAAACAACATAAGATTCTTTTCATTGAGAACGCACGTTATCACCGCTGATTTTAGGCGTTCATTGAATGCCAAATTTGTTTCAGCTCTCAAACTATGACCTATTAATCCCTAACTTGTTCAGTTTGGTCTCCGTAGTTCTTCAGCTTATTGGACGGCATCGCTTGCAATAAACAAGTCTTTTGTTCAGTCACGCAATTCTGGGTTGAAGGACGGATGCTATTTTTAAGTCTTTAAGACTAGGCGTGATGAATTTTAGAGTGAAACTTAAGCCGATCACGCAGGATTATTAAAAATGGTGTGTCACGAAAGCTATACCGTCTGTTGTAATGCCAGATGACACTTCCTTAGAGACCGGTGTAAATCTGAATCAAAGTGGGAGATCTTAACTGATGAGAAAATGTAAGGCAAGTACTGAGGTATATTTTTATGACATTTTAACGATTTTTCCAAGATCACAGAACGCGATATGCATCCCTCTGGCCACACCTCTGCGTTAAAGACGTCCAATAATCTGCCAACTGCACCAAAAACATGAGTGAATGCTATGGTAGAACAGGTGAGACGACTGGTACACATCCTCTCCACAAGTTCAGCAGAATTTTATTATTTTGCCACTGACAGCTGCTCGGCCTGGCAGTGTTGCCAGAGCAGCTTTGTTTAGTGCCATTCGCCCATAACCACGGGAAAGTCAGCGGCTCTGCGAAGATGATGATTTCGTTGACGCGCCTTTTCTCTCCCTTTCCCTTCCTCTCTCGCTCCCTTCCTCTCTCCCCTCCCCCCCCCTCTCTCTCTCTCGCTCTCTCTCTCTCTCTCCATATCTTGAGGGGCGGCAATGCCGTCACCTGCTGGTGACGTCACCACCTGCAATGCCGTCACCACCGGCCTGCTGCCCGGTGCCGTTGCATTGCAGGCCGATGAAAACAAAATCACAAGCCTTCACGAGTCCGCTGACGGGCATGACTTTTGAACGAAGTTCATCGAGTCTTAACAAGAGGATTACTGTCAGCAGGAACATGGTATGACAGTAGCCGTGGAGTGCGAGTACCGCGCTAAGAATGAGTCTCTGAAATATTCTAAGGCATTACGGGAAGGGTCCCCTGACGTTTTGCATCGTAAGTGGACGCAAGTACCTGCCCCAGGTTTGGTTGCGCGGAGCTGGTTATGTTGTAGGTGACCGACGGGCATTAAACGCGGTCCGGGTTAGTGTTCTGCCCAGCAACGAAGTCTCCCCGAGTCCTGATGGATCCGGCCGCGGCTCTTGGACGATCGCCCTCAGCTCCGGGCAGAGCCCGGGCCGTATCTCGCCAAACATCCGCCTTCAGTCTGTCTCGGTGATGCGATGTTACTAGGCTGTCTTCTCGTCAGGGCTGGCAGCTGGGCCTGTCCCACCCAACGGCGATGATTCAGGCAAATTGTCAGCACTGATTTCAAGACGTGGCATAAACCACTCTGGCTTATCTTGAACACATCACAAGCTCATACCTCTGCGGTACTTGAAGCAGAGAAATGGGGAACGTCCAAACTAGCAAATGAAGCACGCTCAAATATTTCGCCATAACGTCGCCGCAGCTGGATGTTAAGCAGTAGCGGCGGTGCAATAGTGGCGCATGCGCGGCGATCCCGGAGCCTCAATCGTACCAAGCAATGTTCTTCTGTGTTAAATACTCAGAAGGCGGGCAACGGTGCCAGCGCCCGTAAAACATCGCTGGCTCGGTGTCCGCAGGTGCCCGTTATCCCAAACCATGCTGGTGGTCACACGGCGACGGAACCAGTTCTTACACGATATATTTATTTTTTTGGTTTGGACTACCTGCTGCCGAAAACGAGTCAGGGGTTGAAGTAAAACCAAAGAATAAGTTGGTCGGCCCATTCTTTCAGGATCTCGGTGTGTGTCAGAAGCGATCTCATATCCCGGCACATTCTGGTAGCCAAAGTTCCGTAATGCTATGCCTGCGTATTATGCGGAAATACCTTATTGAGCTTCAGAAATATGACAGAGGTGGTCTGGAGAACGAATGCGGAGTTAGCCAGGCTCTGCAAATGAACTACCATCACAAACCTCATGGGAACCAACGGGCATAGAACAATTTCATGGCTCCCCTTGTGAGCATGGAAATACCAGACAGCTTCACAGCAGAAAAAGACGCGGGCGCTCCAACGCAATGCTATTTTTGTGTTACCCAAACCAGCCGGAATATTTTTAAAAATGAACACGTGGTGGTTAGCCATCTAGTTACTTTTCGGTCTGGATTGCTTAACCCGCACGAGGAAGTCATTCCACAGAAAAGTCATTCAAGAGCAACGACAGGGAAGATATTTCACGCACAGATACACGACATAAGTCGTGCCGCCGTTTCCGTGGGAACCGTTCTGTGGGGTGGGAGTGTGCGAGTCAAGCCCCGGACGGTTATGATTGTGTCTCAGCCCAGTATCTATGAACTATAGAGCCAGCTGTTTTCCTAATCTAAAAGCCTTATGAAGGTGACTCCAAAGTGAGGCGTACCCGCCAAGGCTAACAAACGCCCGATCAATTCTCACATGCATTTCACACAAGCGCTACGTTTGGTCTCGACAAGCAAACAGATCGACGAGAGGCTGGCAAACCATGAGTGATTTCCAAATTATATAAACATGGTGCGCGCCGTCCCGCAAGGAGGCCTCTCTAGTCTTCACAGGAGTTATGTTCGTTATTCGCTGCGACAACGTCTCTTGTCATCACCGACCATGGCATACATTTCCACTTAGCCATGCGTCATGAGCATTCGCCTGGTCCCACACATGGGATAAAACCGTTACTCGAGGAAAGAAGTCACCGACGCCAGCGAAGAAGCTTTAGTGTTTCCCTGAATCAGCTGCTTCCAAGCGGTCTTGCACTGGTGGGAACCAACCGCAGTATGACAACCCAAATCCGGCTCTGCAGCAAGTCTGATGCTCTTCGCCAGCAGCCCGCCTTTAAAAGTTCGACCAATCGCCACACATCGCTGTGGCACCCACGAGCAAAAGAACCTTCTCAATGGTGAGAAGGCCTAGCCTGTTGTTGGATTCTTTCCATGATCACCGCACGATAAATGCTAAACTTTGTCAAGCAACGGGATACCCGTGGACCCTGACACCCCGTGATGCCGACCTCTATCGCATCCAAGGAAGAGGGAGCGTTCAAAAGGCTGGGGTGGTCAAACCCCTTTTCGAAGAAGATTATGTCCACGCATCGCCACGAAGCGAACGCTATCTTTCACGACGAATGAGGGGTCACGCCCCTCCCCCACATGCCCCTCCCTCTCCCAACAGCTGTACCACCCCGTGACAGCGCGCAGGCATATTCCAGACGCCCTCTCCGCTCCTCCCCCATCTGAAGAAGCTAGCCTTGCGTTTCGAGCGGCATGACTCACGGCATGAAGAGCGTGGCTCGGCTGACTCCAGCCCGCATCATTACCGCCCCAAGGGCGCGACTCGGGCGCGCCAGGCTCCGAACGTCAGGCAGCTAATGCACCGGCGAGGTGAGACCACAGCGCCTGAGAACGACGTGTTTTTGAGCTCGTTATGCTGGGGCGCCAAGGCAGCCATATTGTATGAGCAGTCGGCTGCACAAAACACTCGCCAGCCATCTTTCTCGGGCGCTGAGTAGAAGTAAAAACCAGCCGCGCCGCAAAAGCCGCCGCGCCGAGGACAGCAGGGCACCGTAGTGGTCCCGCGTGGCTGGACCGCACCGCCGGGCGGGGTACCCTCTACAGCCCTTTCGCCGGCGCCCGCCACGGCCGGCACCAAGGTTATTAAATGCGGCGCGCGCGGTCGCCGGCCCGGCGGGAGCGATGACCCAGCGGGGTGCGGCGACTAGACGAGCTTCCCTTACCGTCGACGCTCCAGCCGGTGCTCCGCGGCGAACTCGCGGCGCGCCGCCGCCTCGCCTCGCCTCGCCACACGACTCGCCGCGTCGCACTGCGCCGCGATCCGAGGCCGGCTGTCACCGCGAGCGCTCCACGTCTGCTGCCCGAGACGCCGCCGACTGCCGGGCGGCGGCGGCCGGCGCCGCCGCCGCATACCTGGGGCCGGCCCGCGGGGTTCTCAAACTGGGCCGGCCGGCTGGCGGCGCGGCGGAGGTGGAGGCGGTGCTGGTAACGGCGGTGCAGGGCGTGTGTATCGCCCAAAGCGAGGGGAAGGGAGGGCGGCCAGCGCACGGTAGGCGCCTGTGCTCAGTGCCCAACAACGTTTGAGTCGTGCTGAGGCAGGACGTGACGCATCCCACAGCGACTCAATTTTAGGACCATCATGGAGCTGCTGATTATTTTATGATGAGGGAAAGATACCTAAGCGAAGGTTTCTGAAACTTGACAAAGAAAAATTAACACAGCTTTGACGCTCAAGGCAATTGGCCCATAGATGGCGGCTTTGCATTCTCTTTATAGCGTGTTATAAAGCATGCATACTCGCTTTATAGCTCATCCTTCCGTAAATGTAGAGAACTAAGTACGTAGACAGTCGCAGTATCTTTTGCGTGACTGGTTTCATATTCTTTTCTTGGTCAGGAGGCTAAACTTTGCCCTGTAATAACTGTACAACGGTTAGCCGTGGCCTGAAACCTTCTGGTTGGCGTGCGCGACCTTTCAAAGTATTCGGGTTCAGATTCAGATTTGCATTTGTCAAGTAACTCTAACCATGTGGACTTTTCAGCCGGCGCGTCAATAAAGATAGACGTTGAGGATAAATACCTAGGTAACACTCGACCGAAGCGCCAAATGCACACATGAACTTTTCAGTGGCGTCTAAACAGGATCGCACGTTTTCAAGTCTCCACCGGCCACTGGCACATGCGGACCAATATTTGCACGGTTCAGCACGGTGACCCCTCCGACGTACAGTCGGCGCCTGCCTGCTCCAGCTGGGGCTCGAAATCGTGCAACGCGGTCTGCGCTTCGGGCGCTGCACCCGTGTCGTTCGTGAGCTACTGTACCGATGGTTTTGCCGATGTACTCGGAGCTCCGGTCCTGATAGCTCGCTGGACTGCGCATACGGCGTGTCGCTCGGCTAATTCAGCCGCGTGCAGCGGGCCGAGCCTCTTGATAACATCTGAGATGTGATCGCGGCGTCTGCGACCTTTGACCGCTCGCGTACGGAGGTTGACGATCTTCCGCACGCCGGCGATCCGTGTCGCGCCATATGATCCCTGCGCGCTCATGCAGTGATGAACGATCGAGAAAATAAGCGTCTCCATAACGATTTTCATCTGACGGTTAACACATGGCAGACGTGTCTGGAAACGATAAGATTACCTGCACACTTGGAAGTCATGGTATCAATGCGTGCCTGGTAGCGTTGATCTTCACGCCATTTTGACAAAATCATCGGGCAAGGAAATCGAGAGCGGTCTCCATGAGAAAAATGCTTACGTCTATCAACTGAAGACATCGCACCTATCAATGTATGGATTTTGTGTCAAGTTTGCAGATATGTGTAATACGCTATCCCAATCCATGTGTTCTACTTCTTTTCGCCTGCTTTCCTAACGACCCCTCCTAGGAACCTGATATCATGACATTCATAAGAACCCGATATCATGGTTTTTCGGCGTTACGAGTTGGGAGCTCTTATTCTGACAATACGTGACTTACAGTATATCAGGAGGTAATACCTGATTCACATTAAAAGGCAAGCAATGGCTATACTGACAAAAATCGAGCTTTCAAGCTTCGCTCATCGCCAGCAGGGTTAAGCAAAAGTCAGCAGCATTGAGCAAGAGTCAGCAGGGTCAAGCAAAGGTCAAAAGCACTGAGCAAAAGTCAGCAGCGCTAAGCAAAGGTCAGCAAGGTAAAACAAAATACACCACGGCTAAGCAAAAGTCAATACGGTTGGGTAGAAGTCAGCAGGCTTGAGCAAAAAGCATTTGGAAACATTGAGTTTAGTTTACAAACATTTGGAAACCAAACATTTCCAATCATTTGCAAACTAAACGCGTGAATGCCGGCAATGTTTCGATGTGCGGACATTTACATTAACATGTATATCATAATAATAAATTATTCAAACTGCCCTATCCTATCACCTTACTACCGTGTGCATGGTGGAATGGTGAGCTCGAATCATGGGTTTTTTGGTATGCCCATGACATTTTCTGCACGTATCTTTATCATGCTCTTTATACGCGTATGTTGCTTTTTAAAGCTACCTTTCGCCTAACGTTGTTCACTGCGGACAGAAGCAGAACATAAACATAGAGTTTTGTTACTGCATCCAATGTTTGTCTAATTTTGTCGCTCAACCAGCACACAACCTGGCATCTTGAATAGCGATTATCGTCAGCATAAGAACTCCCAACCTTTCACGCATTCACCATTCATCAGTCATCATCATTCATCTTCATCATTCTGCTTGGCAATGGCGCTACAGGAAGGACACTTTTGATATGACACTATTTCAGCCCACATTTGCACGGCCGATGTGCCGTGGTAGCGATGGTCCGTCCGGTCCTCTACCACACGGCCGATGTGCCGTGGTAGCGGTGGTCCGTGATAGAAGCAGTATTTCAATTGTTTGAACCTGTTGCAGCCGAAAAACTACTTTTTGAGATCCGAATTCTCTGTTGTATCTGAAAATATTGAGTGATGTTTTCTGACCTTGAAATTTCATTTCACAAACATGCAGCACAAGGTTTTACAAAATGGAAAGCAGAACCTTACACAAGAATCGACCAATTTGTGAAGAAGAAAATCCAGCATAAAGTAGTAATTATTTATATCTGCCTTGCAAACCACAGAAAGCATCTTTCCCAGACCCAATACCTGTCGAATGTCCCACCACAACACACTCGTATTTCCCCTTCGACCTTTCTTCTGTCTAAGTACCGTCTGGTGGAGAACAGACGCCCAGACCGTTCGCTGTGACGACCTAAACCGGCGTCCAGAGCTGGGCGCGAGCATCCTCCTACGTGGGCGAGACGTTTCTGTCGGGCCGTGTTGACTGCCCGACCCAGAGTGGACAGCCGCTGTTGACCTAGCGGGCCGAGCGGCGGCGGCACGTGACCCAGCAGTGGCGGCTCATGTCCACCGACGGCTCCGGCTCGGTCGTGCGCCTCAGCACGTCAGCACCTCTGCACCTGGTTCGCCCCTGCTCGTTAGCAACTCTACGCCTCGTGCGTCCCTGGTCGTTAGCACCTCCGCGCCTCTGAACCTGGTGCGCCTCTGCTCGTCAACACCTCTGCGCCTCTGAACCTCGTGCGCCTCATGCGCGTCCGCGCCTGGTGCACCTCTGCTCGTCAGCACCTCTGCGCCTCTGCACCTCTGTTCGTCAGCACTGCGAGCTGCCGCAACGCGGGATTCACATTGTGCTCGGACCTCGCCTTGACAGACACGCCGGATGGGCCAAATCAGAAGTGTGGTGTCGCTGGTAGCGTCTATGTATCACCAAGATTAGTCGATAGCTGGCTGACTTATGTTGTGACACAGTACACACGCACTTATTTTGGGGCACGTTATGCTTGAAAGCATTTATTTGTTACGTATATTCGCATATGTTCACTGAGTTCATTAGGTTCGTTTAGCAAACGACGCCGGAGAGAGGAGGCTGCCGATGGAAGCACATCTACGTGAAAGATCGCAACTCACATTAGCGACATCTGCGGCTGCGGTATGCGTCCACTCAAATCATCTTATGGTCGGCATCCGTCTCATGCTGTTGCAGCAGCTGAACGCAGCGCTCAGCATGAGGTGCGCCACGTAATGACATGATTAGTCTAACGTAGGTGGTACAATAAACCTCAGCGAATAGTCACTCGCGAAACAACCAAGTAACTACAGTCATTAACAAAAGTATGGCGAACGTAATCAGAGATGAACCACACGTAATCGTTTTATAATTGTTTGGGAAAGGCACATTTAGCATCAGTTTTAAGCAGGCATGGATTCACCGATAAATCTACAAGGAGCTTTGAAAACTGGGTGGCAACGGACCTGATCAGGCCCAGTCAATTTGATCGACGACAGGTATGAATACGCGCCGATCCACTTTTTTATTCGAAACACAGAAGATTTGTAGGGATTATGCTAACAACTTAGGTTATACGCTGACCATTTTCGTGATGGACGGATGCATTGAAAGGTTTGTAATTTTAAAAAAATTGTTAAGTTTAGGTTGGGTTAGGTAAGTTTAATTGTTAAGTTAAGTTTGCATACTAAACTCTCTGACAAGGAAAAGATCGTTCCCATGTCAGAGTTTCAATCTCTTCAACATGCGACAGGTAAACAATGTGCATCTAATTAAGAACAAATCAATTATATTACGCGAGAACCTTTAAGGACGTTTCTTCAGCTTATGCAACTAGTTCACCCAAATTCTAAGAGAATACTAGGCCTTGCAATCAGCAATGTGAATCGATGAAAGGCGTTGGATGCTGGCTGCCCCATTATTGTTGACATCGGTACTGGGTGAAGCAAGGTGGGCTTTGACGATCATTCTATCCAAGGATTATTCATCTCGGATCGTGTAAGGGAGTGTAAGTAAGCCTTGTAGGCTCTGTAAGTACTGTAAGCAAGCTAAGGCTCTGACAATAGACATAATAGTGATCTATGACAGTGTGTTTCACCTATCAGTTACTTCTTCCGTCAATTTTCCCCTCAGTGGCAACACTGGCACTTTTGATCGTCTGCGGGCAATTTTGAAGTGACTTTGATCGTCTGCGGGCAATTTCGAAGTTACTTCTGCCATTCGTTTCGATAAAGAGAGGCTGCTCAAATATCAACATATCTATATCTCCATTCTCCTGCCTTTTCTACGAGGAATAAGGCTATTACTACCGTCTTATCTATTTGCGTAATGTTCTCCGCTAATATACTAAACAACTTAAGTAATTTTGAGCCACTGCCTTGGTTCGAACACTCGAAGTGGCCCGATCTCAGCCAGGTACCAAGATGTTGACCTATGTCTGGGAGAGTGTCTTGGCAACAGTCCCGATGTCTTCCTCAGATGGCGTCGTGCCCCACGCAGTGTCCCATGCCTCT